TGGTGGCCTTCCCACAGACCTTGGCCAGAGCGGCCACTCATGACTGCTCCCCAACCCGTGAGGGATGTGTCCATCATTAGAGTTATGCGACAACAAGGAACCCACAACACCGGGCCTTGAGACAGAAACCAAGGTTTCCTCCACATGTCTAAGGCACGTAAGCATCGCTGCATGATCTTGATCATGCGAAGCGGGTTGCCCCTCGGGAAAACCCCTTTGTCCTGAGCCACCACTACAAAATTCTCATGTACAGCAGGCCAAAAGGTATTACATTGGACGCAGCTGCCATCAGACCTAACAGTCTCTGAAACTGTTTGACAGTGAGTGACTGGCCTTTGGGAATGAGTGAGAATGCCGCCCCATACTAACAAGTCCCTGTCTGGTGTGTATCAGATGAGCACATCAAGATGAGAAGACTTGGGATCCTGGGGTTAGAAGCCAGGTCCAGATTATACAACTGAACAAATGTGTGCGGAGAGGACCAGCCCGCCGCATCACAAATGTCCTGCAGGGAAGCACCCATGAATAAGGCCTTGGAGGCCACCATACTCCGGGTCGAGTGGGCTCTGACCCCCATAGGTGCTGGGAGGCCAGAGGACTCATAAGCAAGTGAGATGGCCTCGACCACCCACCTGCTCAGGGTCTGCTTGGTCACCCGAAAGCCCTTCATAGGTGGTGTGACGAGTGGGGCGGGGCCGAGAGCCGTGGGAATGGAGCGAGGCCGGTGGAGGGATTGATAATGAGCGACACCTGCACCACTCACCGGTCTCGAGTCTCACTGTCGTCACTCCTCCCTTTTATCCTTCCGGAGCTCCTCCGTGAGACTCGAGACCGGTGAGTGGTGCAGGTGTCGCTCATTATCAATCACTCCACCGGCCTCGCTCCGTTCCCACGGCTCTCGGCCCCGCCCCACTCGTCACAGGTGGATCAAAGCAAACATCTGATCTGCCTTACGCCACTGGCCAGCTCTGTGGACGTAAGCGTCCAATGCTCACACTGGACAGAGAAGATTTAGCTTCTCCTGGTCAGCTTTCTGGAAGGGAGGAGGACAGAAGGCTTGCAGCACTATGGGCCCTAGCATAGAGGTGGGCACCTTAGGGACATACCCGTGCCTCAGGTAAAGGAAGGCCCTAACCATGCCTGGGGCAAACTCCAGGCAGGAGGGAGATACTGACAGTGCCTGAAGATCCCCTATCCTCTTGAGTGAGGATATAACAAGGAGTAAGACCGTCTTCAAGGTGAAGAACATATCTGGAACCTCCTCAATGGGTTCAAAGGGGGCATTGCACAAGCCCTCCAGAACCACCTCAATGTCTGGGCACATTGGTGCACTGTGCTGGTCTCAGCCTCAAAGTGCCACGGAGGAAACGAGTACAGAGTGGGTTTCTTCCCAATGACTGACCACCCAGAGGGGCATGGTAAGCAGCTATGGCTGCCACGTACACCTTCAGAGTGGAGGGAGATAACCCTGTGGAAAATGCTCCTGCAGAAACTCCAGAACTGTACCAACTGGGCAGTTGACTGTATTTTGCAGTCGCTGTCCGCACCAAGAGGTAAAATGTTTTCACTTCAGCACATACTCTTTCCTTGTGGTGGGAGCTCTGGACTGGAGTATGGTCTCAACAACCTCAGTTAAGAGACTGGATGCTAAGAGCTGTGCCCCCTCAAGGCCACGCCCACAGTTTCCATAACTATGGGCGGGGGTGAAGGATGGAGCCCCCCGCCTGAGAGAAGAGGTCCCTCCTGATCGGAATCTCCAAGGGAGAGCCATCGAGAAGGGACACAAGGTCCAAGAACCATACTTGGGCTGGCCAGAATGGGGCTACTAGCAGAAGATGGAGCTGGATGCGTGAGGGAGAACCAGACCGGGCAGTGTGTCATTTCCTGCGACTCAAATAGATCCACTTCCGCCTGGCCGGACTCCCTCCAGAGGAGCTCCACCACCTCGGGGTGGAGCCTCCATTCCCCGGGCCTCAGCCTGTCTAGACAGAATGTCTGCTCCCTGATTCAGGTGTCCAGGGATGTAAACTGCTCTGACTGAGAGGAGTTTTCCTTGAGCCCACAGGAGGATCTGGTGTGCCAACTTGTATAGTGGGCGCGAGCGCAGACCCCCCTGCCGGTTGATGTAGGAGACCACCGATGTGTTGTGTGTGCGGACAAGCACATGATGGCCCCGCAGGTCTGGAAGGAAATGTTTCAATGCACGAAACACGGCCAGCATCTCCAGGAAATTTCTGTGCCACATGAGATGGTGGCCTTCCCACAGACCTTGGCCAGAGCGGCCACTCATGACTGCTCCCCAACCCGTGAGGGATGTGTCCATCATTAGAGTTATGCGACAACAAGGAACCCACAACACCGGGCCTTGAGACAGAAACCAAGGTTTCCTCCACATGTCTAAGGCACGTAAGCATCGCTGCATGATCTTGATCATGCGAAGCGGGTTGCCCCTCGGGAAAACCCCTTTGTCCTGAGCCACCACTACAAAATTCTCATGTACAGCAGGCCAAAAGGTATTACATTGGACGCAGCTGCCATCAGACCTAACAGTCTCTGAAACTGTTTGACAGTGAGTGACTGGCCTTCTCTCACTCTCTTTGCGGCTCTGAGAATCGATTCGATACGAGCAGGAGACAGACATGCCTGCATCGTTGGATCCCCCACCACGCCAAAATAAGTGGTCCTCTGTGCTGGAGAAAGCACACTTTTCTTGGCATTCAGCCTCAACCCCAGCTCTTTCTTATGAGTGAGGATGACATCTCGATGCCGAACTTCCTGTGTTGTGGAAGGATGGATACGTGGAAGTATGCATCCTTGATATCTATTGTGACAAACCAGACCTCTGACCTGATTTGAGACACAATCTGTTTGATTGTGAGCATCTTGAACCGAAAGTGTTTGATAGCACAGTTCAGCAGATGCAGATCTATGATGAGACGCAACCTCCATCCTTCTTCAGAACGATGAAGTATTGGCTGTAGAACCCGGAGTCTCTCGAGAGAGGAGGAACATGTTTTATTTCCTCCTTCCTCAAGAAAGTGTCTATTTCTTGTTCCATTACCAGAGCCTGCTCGGGAACCACTATTGTGGGAACAACCCCATTGGAACGAGGCAGGCGAGAAACTAAACTGGATTCTGTAGCCTCTCTATAGTATGCAGGACCAATTGTGAGACATTTGGCAGAAGTTTCCACGTTGTCAGAAAGTCTACTAAAGGAACCAGCCACTCGGGGATAGCCTCTGGTATGGCTAGAGGAGTCACTTTCGGTGCCCTGAAGCAGATAACTGGCAGGGAACGACTGACCTGACGGCTATGGTGCCTTCACTTGAGGGGATGAGCATTCCTGTGCTGTATGCTCGCTGGAGACCGCTGTGCCCTGAAGCACCGGAGGTGGCAGGGTTGACAGAACAGCCCCCTGAGGGCACTGAGGAGGATCGGGCACTGTGTACTGAGGTGTGTACCTCTCCTCTCCTGGGGGGTCTGCCCTCAAACTGTGTCGGAATCTACCTCCTCTTTGTCACCCAGGTCCTTAAGCAGGTCGGCCTCGTATGCCTGTAACACCGCCTGACCTGCTGCCGTATAAACTTTCTCCACCAAGGCCGTTGTTGTTCTGACTGGCTTGGTGGGAAGCCTTGGGGCATCTGCTCCACCCTCTGCATCGTCCCATATCCCTGTTCATTCAGCCCCACAATATTAGAATAGTCAGAAACAGTGGGGCTGTAGAGCCTGGATGAATCGAGATTATTCCACAACCTCAACACCTCGGCGTGGAGGTTGTGATCTAACGCGCAGGAAGTGTCGTCTAATTAACTCTTTTGACGAATGTCCTGCTTCTCGGCTGGCCAATCAATTTTCAACTTGGCTACAGCACGAGTGAAAACCTCCACCATCTCCTCATATGCGAGGGACTGTGGCAGCGAGTCCACGGTCTCCTCAGTATCAATGCTCATCACATCAACCTCCTCAAAGGAAGAGAGATGAAGCGCCTGGCTCTCTCTCTGGGGGGAAGAAACCGCAGAGCGTGCTCCCTCAAGAGCTGACCGTGCATGCTCCGCTCCCAAACAGACGACTCAAAGATCGTGTGTATCCCCACCCGTGAGATAATGAGGGCAGGGAGGAACACACAATCTATAGCACCGTCCGCTCGCCGATTTACTTTTGTTTTTACACTTTAACATTATCGCTGTCTTACTAACAGAGATATACTGACTGACTGAATGCTTGTGTAACACACATGCACATACCACAGCGCACTTACTGAAGAGCAGAAGCTAACATGTGCTGTGCCAGGTGGACTTTTAAGCTTCCTGGTTGCTCACGACGTCACCCCGCTCGTGACATCTCGCTTCTCCAATGGACTGATTCCACACGTGCTTCAGAACGTGGTCACGCAGAGGCGTTCCCAAAGCGTACCAACAGCTTGAGTTCCCTGAGGGGGATATACTGTGTATACTGTATATGTATAGCATTGCAGTAATGAAAATAATATTTGTTTTATTTTTATTTATTTATTTATAGTGAGAAGTTTTAGTAATGGAGGGGAGGGAGAGAATATGTATAATTTTGGTGATAATTATGTCACATACAAAAATTGTCCTAAAATAGGCTGAAAAATACAATTTCTTATTGATTTCTTTTGATATTGGAGTGAAATATGACTTGACTGGTGATATTCACCTACAGTCTTATGTGGGTTGCTGTACAGCACATGTTGACGTACCTTATCTACAGGACATATATTTCACCAGATGTTTTTACTTCCTTTTAGTTTTTTTTTACTAACCCCAGAAAAAAGTGTGCCAAATATTGACTTGTTTTGTTTAATAGTATACAGTATGTGTCCCTTTTTATAGTAGTTAGTAGGTTTGTTTTATTAGTATGCTCTCACCAGCGTGTTCTGCTTTAGTCTAACTGTTTTGGGCAGGTATATGACTCGACCACGAGCACTTCTTTAGATGTAGTGCTTTACGTTGATTCCTGACACACCATCTGTCCCGCAGGGCAAACATCCGAACGGGATCGGTCCAAACAAGTCCCAGCAGCACGCCAGTATCGAGTCGAAGAGGTCGGCAGCTACCGCAAGTCCCACCAAAGAGCTCTATGGACAGAAGTGAGTAGACAAACCAGGCTTCTTCCAGACTGCAGGGTTTGTGGCGCTTGGGTGGAAAACTTGAATAATTAGTTGGGTTTAGGGTCACCAGATGCCGTCCAGATGCATTTATGTGGACAATAAGAATAACCTTTCCATTGGATAACTGACAGAAATTCAACAAATAAGTAAATAATTATAACCTATTATTGCACAATAGTTATCACAAAAATGGCTTATGCAAAAACAACCATCTTGACCACAAAAGCCAGGTAAAGAATATTATGTTACAATAGAATAACACAACATGGATTGTTTTTTTCCCCACCTTTTTCCCAGAAGATGGCGAGGGCATTACTGAGCCTTATGAAGGTCTGTAAGCACTAGCTTCTGTGTGTTTAGCCTCGTCTCAGTCTTCTTTATTACAGCTTTATCATCTCCTCTGTTTGACTATACCTGTTAGCTCTGGTCTGTGAGCTTTACCTGTCATTGGTCAGGCTACTACCATTCATTTAGTGGACTGAACAGATGTATTAGTTTTTGCTTCAGCAATGTTAGTGCAATTAATAGTTCTGTACATGTATCATTTTCGATGTATGCTGTGTAGTCTGTGTACTTCGTCCATGTCTGGATTAATGTCCAAATCCGCTACAATGGATATTAAAAATACGGAAGCCTGTTTATGCCACGAAATGGGTAATTGCAACTTTATCTCACAATTCTGACTTTGTTTCTCACAATTAGTACTTTTTTCTTGGAAGATGATAGAAGTAAACTCAGTGTAAATTCTGAGGGGAAAAAAACAACTAATTGGTCTCTAATTGGAAAATGCCAAATTGCGAGATATAATTCTGTAATCATAAAAAAAAAAAAAATGTCAGAACTGAGTCCCAAGTGTGAGATATAAACTGGCCATTCTGAGATAACAGTCTGAATGACAAAATGTTAACTCAATATTATGAGATTTAAATTGCAAGAAATAATGTTAGAATTGTGAGATAAAATATTGCAATTACCTTTTTTATATTTTTTATTCTGTAGTGTAAACAGGCTTCCATACAAATCTACATGCCCTTATTGAAATTTGTTGAGGTACTTGCAATTTATGTCAGACCTTTAACGTGAGTAACATCTTCTGACAGCATTTAAGTTGCTGAATAACCAAAGTAGTTCTGGTATGTTTATAGCAGAGGCTCAGCAACCTTAGAAGTGATAATCATTGGCATATGAGCAATGTTAAGTGATAAATATATATTTTTATTGTGTTTTCGAAATGGCAGTCTACTCTTAGAAGTGATCTTCTCAGTCACACAGTGATAGTCACAGTTTATTGGTTAGTTCTTTGACATTTTGGTTTGTTTTCTCTTTTGATTGGCACAACTCATCAACCAATGAAGCAGGAACAGGGGCGGTACCTCAGCCTCCTGCTCCGCCCCCTGTTCTTTCTTCCACAGACTGTGGCTGTTAAATTATATTTAGGACACATGGGACACTTAATATCAGGAAAATGCAAATATGATCTTGATATTCTGGCATTTACATCAAAGTTTGTTGATAGACTATGTATAGTACACTTCAATGGATCTCTACATTTTTGTTATTAAATTACTTAATTTGCGAAATTGTATTTGCATTTGAGGTTACTGTAGCATACTGTAGTTAGTATGTTTAGTGACCAAGTGGAGTAAATGGTATAGGAAATTATTTTAGCTTTTCTTTTCACATTTTTGTTTTCTCATCTTCATTTCTGATGGCATACTTCTGTCTGTCTTTCTAACGCTCATTTCTGTCTGAATGTTGAAGTGGTGGGAGGGGCTTCACAACCCCTGGCCCCGCCCCCTCCACCTCCTCAAGCCACACAAGCAATGGCTGGTAATGCTGTCGTTATATAGCAGACATAGACATTTGTCTTTATTAGTGATGCACCGAAATGAATGTTTTTTTCCAAAATCAAAAATGCTGATTTAAAATTAGCCTTTGCTTGGAATAACTGTATTCTATATAATATAATATTTTCCTGCCACTTGATTTATATATAAGTTACTGTATATATATATATATATATATATATATATATATATACTGTTATATGCAAGTCTATACATTACCATTTAAAATTTGTGGTAAGGTTTTTATTTATTTGTGGCAAGGTTACATTAAATTAAATAACATTAAAAACTTTTACATTTCTACAAAAGATTTATATGTAATAATAAGAAATGTATCTGTATTTTTGATCGAATAAATGCAGCCTTGGTGAAAATTACAGACTTCTTTAAAAACCAAAAAAATAAAATAAAAAAATCAAACTTTTGAATGATAGTGTACATATTACATAGTTGTATTACACAGAGTTTCTTAAAAAATGTTTTCCAAATAATAAAACAAGTATTATTAAATAAAGTAGTTCAAGTAAAAATAACTATATTATTGTTGTATATATATTGTTAACTTTACTAGAAACGGCATACTGCACAAATCCAATAGTAAGAGTAGTATGCTGTTCTGAACATAGTCCAAGGGCCTGTTTCTTTACATCATTTATTTAGCTTTCAGCAATATTTCTTTTTCATCTTTTGCCTTTGCTTTAA